TCTGTGACCCCCAGGTGTGCCACTGGAGAGGCATGGCAGGAGATCATGCTCGCCAGCCTTCCCGGGAATCGTTGTGACCCTGAGTCTGACATCAACCCTGGCGAGGAGTTTAACTGTGGTAGCAATTTTGCCTTCGCCTATTTTATCAGCTTCTTCATGCTCTGTGCCTTCCTGGTAAGAACGGTTCCCACTGCCATGGGGTTGGCTCTGAGGGGTCCAGGTGACGACCAAATGAGCCCGGGAACCCAAATCTTCAGAGTGGGTGAGAGGACTGAACTAACAACTAGATCAACCCAGGGACTCATGAACCAGTGACCATATAAGCTCACCAAACTCCTACCAACCTCCTGCCCCCACCCCCACCAGGACTCTCCTTGATCCTCCCCCTAATCCACCCGTACTCACTGGTCCACAGATCATAAATCTCTTTGTTGCCGTGATCATGGACAACTTTGATTATCTAACCAGAGACTGGTCCATCCTGGGCCCCCATCACCTGGATGAATTCAAGAGGATCTGGTCTGAATATGACCCTGGGGCCAAGTATGCCCTCTAACCCCTGACCTGCGATCCCAAGGGTCAATGCACTGCACCATACAATTCCTCAGCCCCAGAAACTCTGACTTCTGCCTTCCACTACCCAGTCAATAGATGCCCCAAGGTTTCCATTGCTCCTGTGTCCTGCCCTCCCCTACTGTCCTCCAGTTCTCCTATCGTAGGATCTTGGAGGGAGGGGGGAGGGGGGGTAGTGATATGTTTGTGGTGTCTTGAGAAAGAGTCAGACTGCAATACCACCCATCCAGGGGTGCCTTTCTGTCCTGTCCTCACTTGCCCCAGGGGCCGAATCAAGCATCTGGATGTAGTTGCCCTCCTGAGACGCATCCAGCCCCCACTGGGATTTGGAAAGCTGTGTCCACACCGAGTAGCCTGTAAGGTCTGTCCCCTGGGCCTGTTGGAAGGCTGTCCGCCACATGGAGGGATGGGCAAGGGACCCACCGTGGTTCAGAAAGGAGTGTTTGGTAGCATAGTCAAAGGTTTCTGCCCAGTGTGGCACTGACCCAGTGTGGGTCTGTGTCCCTGGAATATGTAGAGACTTGTGGCAATGAACATGCCCCTCAACTCAGACGGAACAGTGACGTTCAACGCCACACTCTTTGCCCTGGTTCGGACATCTTTGAAGATCAAAACAGAAGGTATGCCTCGGGGAGAGAAGGAAAGCAGGGTGCGGGGAGAAAACTCGCTGAGTGGCAGTCACCTCTTTCCGCTCTGCAGCTCAGACTGCGTGATGTTAGCCTTTCCAGGGCTGTTTGCCCAGTAGAGGTGGTATGTGGCTGTGGTAGCAATTTGTGAAGCCCCCTCATTCACCCAACAACAGTGAGTGGAAAATTGGGAAGGGCTCCTCTTATTGGTTCATGCCACACACACCCCCAACCCAGGGAATCTGGAGCAAGCCAACCAGGAGCTGCGAATCGTCATCAAAAAGATCTGGAAGCGGATGAAGCAGAAACTTCTGGATGAGGTCATCCCCCCACCGGACGGTGAGCTAGCCCCAACCCCCTTCCTCCAGCCTGACCCTCAATGCCAGGTGGTTGTTCAGCACAACATAACCAGCACTGCACGGGGTAAGGGAAGTCCCTGTTGGTGGGCAGTACTGGGAGCGAGGAGAAAACCCCTATGTAACCTCATCTCCATTCCCTCACCCCCAGAGGAGGAGGTCACCGTGGGAAAATTCTACGCAACATTTCTGATCCAGGACTACTTCCGAAAATTCCGGAGGAGAAAAGAGAAAGGGCTACTAGGGACTGAGGCCCCTCCCAACACCTCCTCTGTCCTTCAGGTCTTCCTTCCAGAGGGGAGGCAGGCTCGAGATGGGGGGGGGGGACGGGTAGGCCAGGAGTCATAAAAGGAGGAGGGCCTAGAGGGCTTTGGAATGGAAATTTGGAAGGGGGGGGAGCAGGCTGTGACCTGGGTGACAGGTTGGGGAAGCATTGTAGTTGGAACGAACCTTCTGTATCTCATGAAATCCATGTCACAAATGAGAAAATCGAAGGCCCAAGATCCACAATAGATCTGGGGTGACTTAGGGGTCCGTTCCCCCACCCTACACTCCTACATAGGAATCAAGTTCACAAAGGGAGTGCTTCACCCCTGAGCTGCCTCCATTCCCTGTTTGCCACCCACAGGCTGGTCTGAGGAGCCTACAGGACTTGGGGCCTGAGATCCGACAAGCCCTCACCTGTGACACAGATGAGGATGAAGAGAGGCAGGAGGGAGAGGAGGGGAAAGATAAGAAGGACTCAGAAACCTATGACGTGAGGCCAAGTTTTTACTTCTCCAGGACCTCTTGCTCATAAAATATCCCCTCGATCCCTTGAGTGACTCTGATACTGTTCTGAAGCAAACTCCCCAGAAAAGTGCCCCTGCAATGGGAAAAAAATATTGATGTGGTACTCATCATCTGCTGATGGAGGGCGGGATCCCAAATCGGCCCCTGAGATGTTTGTTCATGGACCAGTAGGGGAGACTCACAAGATGACCAAATGACTTACATATCACCGGGATGCAACATTCCGTCTTATTTACTCTCTGTAGGCCCCAGAGGGCTCTCAGCCCCCATCTCGCAGGAGTTCTATGATTTCTGCGTCTCTGCCCGTTGGAGACAAACTCCCAGACTCACTGTCCCTTGGGCCCAGTGATGATGATGGGGTTGCTCCCAACTCCAGACCCTCCAGTGTGCTGCAGGCTGGATCCCACACTTGGAGGTGCTGGCAAGGGTCTGGGGGGAGATTGTGGAGGGAGGCAGGGGCTAGACAGGATGGGGGCAGGTCATTCAGAGGCCATAAAAAGAGAGGAGTCAGAGGCCATAAAAAGAGAGGAGAGCCCAGAGGGCTTTGGAGTGGGCACTGGGAAAGGATGGAGGAGATTCTAGGGCTCAGCTGAGAATAGAGGGTACTAAGAAATGCATATAAGAAAGACCGATGTCTTAAAACAAAAGGCATGTGATTTAGAACTAAATTACTTCAAGTTAAAATCCCAACTCTGCCATTTGCTAACTAAATTACCTTGGGCTAGTCACTGTTCTATGATCCTCAACTTCTTTATCTACAAAAAGGGGGATTATAATACCACTTACCTCACAGGAATGATAACAAAATTCAATACACCCTCCTCCTCCCCACCCCCCACCCCCCAGTGTTTTTGCTGAATAGGCCAACATAGGTTTGGCTTGGTTTGGTTTTTCACTTTGGGTGTTTCTAGTAAGACAAAGCAGCTATTAAAAGAAAACCTATAAATACTTTGTAATGATCCATTGTTAATTTTACGTTATATGAATTACCTCAATAATAATTTAAAATGTCAAGTAAAAGCCCCCAAATTCGCTTATCAAAACAAACAAACACAGAAAGAGTCAGGGCAGAGATTTTGCATAGGGGCATTAAGTTTATGTTAATGGTAGCGGAAAATTTGGAAAAGGATAGTGGTAATATTTACAAAGCAGGAAGAATATCATCATTATCCTGAATTAGATATAGAGAAATTGCTGAATTTGCAAATGTTTTGCGTCCATTTTCACCACAATAAAAAAATGTTAAGCAATTAAAAAGAAAAAAACAAACAAAACCAGGGGCCCCAGGTCACTGAGGAGCCCTCTGCATGGTCAAATGGGTCTCCTCTGCCCCAGGAAAAGCTCCGGAAGTCTCATGTTCACTATCCCGGAAGAAGAAGGGACTAAGCCCAAGGGAACCAAAGGGCAGGACAAGCAGGATGCAAAAGAGGGAGTCTCGAACCTGTACTCTGGACAAGACATGTAAGATGACCCCATGAGCCACACAAAGGAGGCTGATGTGCCCATCTTCCATGTCCAGGCCTGCGGTCACACCCACCTCTCCCATACAGGCTCTCCTTCCTAGATGAGCAGGCAGGGAACCCCCCACATCTGGTCTTTTTACCACCTCGCAGACCCCAGAGATATGTGCAAGGACACCAAGTCCCCCGTCGCCGTCTGCTGCCTCCCACCCCTGCAGGTGAGTGTGTGCTTTAAGAGCCCTGCCAGGGGCACCAGGGCAGGCAGCTGGGGAGCCCCAGACTTCTCTCTCGGTTCCTGTCTTTGTGCTGCCTACCCCAGGTCGGAAGCCTTCCTTCACCATCCAGTGTCTGAGGCGCCAGGGCAGCTGTGAGGATTTACCCATCCCTGGCACCTATCACCGTGGGCGAAACTCAGGGCCCAACAGGATGCAGGTAAGGTGGGAGGGTGCTGGGGCCTGGAGGGGTGAGGATGACCTAATCCAGATAGATCTCTCAAACACTACTTACCAGGCCTTTCCTAAGAACAAGGCCTGTATGAATTCATACAATACTCATTCTGCTTCTGTGGTAGCTACTGTTGTTACCCCCAGTTCACAGATGAGGAAAACTGAGGCCCAGAGCGGCTTGCTCAAAATCACACAGCTATTTAAGTGGCAACATTGAAAATTGAACTCAGACCCTATATTCTCTTACATAAACTCAAACATGAATCACCCCCTTTGCATTCCATTCGAATTGTGCATTGGGGGTAAGGGGTAGGTGTCGGAGTGGGTACAAGACCCTCACACCACACCCACCACTCACGGAGACCTCTGGTCTTTATTCTGGCTCAGGGTTCCTGGGCAAGCCCTCCTCAGCAGGGTCGGCTCCTCTATGCCCCACTCTTCCTGGTGGAGGAGGGCGCAGCGGGGGAAAGGTACATCGGCAAATCCAGAGGTCCACTTCAGACCTTCACCTGTCTTCACCTGCCTAGCACCCATTCGGAGCCCACCCACGGCAAGAGGGGCAGTGCCGACAGCTTGGTGGAGGCTGTGAGTCCAGAGGGCACACTGGCATGAGGGGTGGGCAAGAAGAGAAGAGGGCATTTGGAGAGGGGACAAGGGGCTTCCCCAGTGGGTGTAAGGAGTCCTGGTGGCATAGTGGTTAAGCCCTCAGCTGCTAAGTCAAAGCAGTTTAAACTGGCCCACGTGGCGCTCTGCAGGAGAAAGATATGGCGGTCTGCTTCTGTAACCCTTACCTCCCTGGACGCCCTCTGCGGCAGTCGTGATGAGTGGGTTCGAGTCTCTGCACTCTGCTGGGGTGGGGGTGCTCTGTCATTGTTCTTCAGCATCTGCTCCGCCTGATATGCACACCTCTGGCCCGCATGCACTCCTGAGGACACCAGTTATCACCGCTGACCTTCTGTGGGCACTGCTCGACTCCATGCTGCCACTGTCCCCTCTGCTCACCTTGATGCCATCTGTACCCCCAGGTGCTCATCTCCGAGGGACTAGGCCTCTTTGCCCGAGACCCACGCTTCGTGGCCCTGGCCAAGCAGGAAATTGCAGATGCTTGCCACCTGACCCTGGACGAAATGGACAGTACTGCCAGTGACTTGCTGGCCCAGAGGGCCAGCCCACGTTATAGCGACGAGGAGTCTGCCCTCTCCCGCTCAGACGAAGAGGACCTGAGAGATGAGATGGACTGTGTACATGCCCTCTGAATCCCCGCCCCTCTCCCACTGCTCAATAAACCTCTGCCCTCCTCTCCTCAGAGGAGACAGGCTTGGACACCCCCCTGTATTCAGGTGTCTTTGCACTGGGGGCCCGACACTGCCCAGTGGCCCTCATCCATCCATTATCCTGCTCCATCCCTGAGCCACTGCCCACACACATGTATTTCCAGAAACCAGGACAGCTAGGCCTGATTATTCAGCGTCAGGAAAGGAGGGGGGAAGGAGAAGGAAGAGACAGCAGCCAAAAAAAGCCGGAGATGGAGTGGAGATGGGAGTGGGGGTGGGGACTGGACAGGAAGGAAAGGAAGGGAGAGAGGCTGCGTTAGGGCTTGGCTGAGTACAGGGGGCAGTGTTCAGAGATTCCAGAAGGGGTTGGTTAGGTCAGACTGAGGAGGGACAGATGGATGACAAGAAGGCATGAGGAAACCCAGAGGAGTGCCCTGCTCATAGAAAGGCCCACGGATTGGAATGGCCTGGCATGTGGCATGTCTTGGGCAGAGAGGTCCTCTGCAGACATCAGGAATTGCGGGGAGGCTAAATTGAGATCATCCTTTCTCCAGCCTCCCATCTGAGGTGGGGCAGCCGGGAGCTGGGAGGCGCGGGGGACAACTAAAGTCATTGGTAAAAGATAGGGTGACAGCAAAGATCTGGGCTTCCAACCCCGATGAGCCCCCTGAGGGCTCAACTGGCTTTTTGGAGACCACCTAAGAATAACGTGCTCTCCTGTCACACAGCTCCCAGAGGGCTCTGTTTCCTGCCCTGTCCTTAGCTATAGCCCAGTCTTGGGGGAGGGGGTGTCTCATTCATTCAGCACTTACTGAAGAGCTCTGGTGGTGTAGTGGGTTACTAGTTGGGCTGCTAAGCACAAGGTCTGCAGTTCAAACCCACCAGCTGCTCCTCAGAAGAAAGATGAGGCTTTCTGCTTGTGTAAAGATTTACAGCCTTGGAAACAGGGGCAGTTCTACCCTGTCATTTAAAGTCACTATGAGTCCAAACTGACTGGATGGCAATGGATTCTTGCTGCTTGTCTGTCTGTTTTGTTTTTACTGTGTGCCAAGAAGCCTGGTGACACTATCAGGTAAGCACTGGGTTGCAAACTGCAAGGCCAACGGCAGCTCAAACTCACCAGCTGCTCCTCGAGAGAAAGATGAGCCTACTGCTCAGGTCAAGAGCTGCAAAGCTTTGGAAACCCTGTGTGGAGCCATGATGCCTTGGAACCGGCTCCCTGGCCGTGGGTTTGGTTGCTTGGTTGTGTGCCAGGCACTGCTCTGAGTTTCACTGCGAGCAAACGGAGAGGACTCAGAGATGCGGCAGGGCTTGTCCAGAGCGAGAGTCTTCCCTGCTTCAAAGGCACTATGGAGGTCATGTTGGCATCCCCACGGGGGAGGGTCTGACGCAAGGCTTCCTCCCAGCTCTCAGAGGCTGGCCTCTCCCGTGCTTCATTTGGTGTGTCCAGTCAGCTTCGAATCTTGGGGGAAACCACAATGGGAGACTAGAACTCAGGACATAGAAATACACTAAGCCTTGAACCATGAGTTGGAAATTTGGCCCTGTTGTCTAGAACAAGAACAGAGCCTTGTAGTAGCTGGGCTGGTGTATTATGGGAATAGCAAGTCCCAGAAAGGGCAGAGAGAGTGAAGTAACATTGTGGAGGGATGAGGTGGGAAAGGCCACCTGAGTCTAGCCTTGAGTGCTACATCCCAAGCACCAGAATTTTTCCGGAAAGCCACAGGGAGCCATGGGAGGAATGTGGGTAGGGTAGTGACATAGATAACTGTGTACTTTAAATAAATGCTCCGGCTGCTGTGTGGAAAACAGAAAGGAGGGGGGGAGCTTGGAGATGCTAAAATTGGCAGGAATGATGGTGGCCTTAGTCAGGGGAAGTAACAAAGGAGATGGTGAGAAGTCAGTGGATTTCAGAAATGTGCAGGAGTTAAAATAGACTATTCAGTGGACTCGTTGCTAAGTGCAGTACAGTGGTTACCTTATTTAATCAGAACAACCACCTTATAGGCATCGTTATTAAACTGTCTTCATGCCAAAAGGTACACAGGACTAAACATTAAAGAGGGGATTCAAATTCAAGCTGTTGAATGTCAAAACCTGTGTTTTTAATCCTTCTGTATACTGCTTCCCCTAAGGAGGCAATGCCTGCAGATGCCCATTAGATGTTGTGTGAACTTGTATGTGTGGTTTCGAAATGAAACATACAGGCAGTTCTGGGCTATGGGCATCTGACTTAACATATAACCAACCCCATAAAGCCTATTTATGTTAAAATTTTGAAGTACATACCACAACCCCAAAACCAAATCCACTGCCATCAAGTTGATTTTTGACTCATAGTGATCCAATATAGGCTTCCCAAGACTGTACATCTGCACAGGAGCAGTCAGCCTCATCTTTCTCTTAAGGAGCCACTGATGGGTTTGACTGCCAGCCTTATGGTTAGTAGCCCAACGGCTAACTTACAGCGCCACTAGGGCTCAGTTAAGGTACATAGCATGGGTTGTAATAAGAAACAGGTGATACTTTGCCACATGCATCAGAACATTCTTATTACTGTATTATTATGTTAAAGATGTTTTCACGTATCTGGAAGTGTTACTTGGATTTTTTCTGCATAGAGAGGTACAATGTACACATCATACTAAGACAAACACTTGACTGACATAGATATAAACCTGTTCTGACTTAAGCACAGATTTATGAATGGAACCCATTTGTAATCCGTGACTGCCTGCACCTTCAGAAGTTCATATTTGAGAAAGTACAAGGGGGTTTGGAGTGAAAAGTTTCCTTTTCTCTAAGCACAATCAGGGTTATCAGCTCTCTTTTATACATGTATAAGACTCTGCACTGATAAATTAGCAAAGTAGTTAAGAGCGGCACATGCAGCACTAGACTTCCTATGTTCAAATCCTGGTTCCAGGACTTACCAGATGTGGGACCTTAGGTAAGTTCCTTCCACTCTCGGCACTTCAGTTTCCTCAGTGGTAAGAGGAAGTTCGTAATAGCAGCTTCTTCAAAGGGTTGTAGTAAGGGTTACGTGAGTCATAGAGGTGAAGTTCCCCAAGCAGTACCTGAGACAAAACAGCCACACTGTAAATGTTAGCAATTGTCTACGTGACATCATTCCTTCCTCTTCTTTGTACCCATGTCCCACATGGTTTGGCATCTTGTAATTTTTACCTAAATGTCTCAGTAACCACCCTCTCTCCATATTTTTATTAATGAATTACACCTGCATAGTACTCCATTTTATGGGTGTATCAGAGTTGTTTAAAAACAAAGCAAAACAAAAAACGGGCCACCAAGAATGAGCACGTAGGGAGTGTCCACGCTCTCCTGTCCTAAGTAGTAATGTACTATATCCTCTGATACATATATCGTCTAAGGGACCCTGGTAGTATCGTTGTTACATATTGAACTGCTAACCCTACGGGCAGCTGTGCCAGACTGCCAGCTGCTCTGCAAGAGAAAGAGAAGATTCTCTGCTCAAGTACAAGGTTTACAGCTTGAAAAACCCACAGAGGACGTTCTACTCTGTCCTAAAGGGCTGTTGTATGTTTGAATACAGTCAATGGCAGTGAATTTGGTTGGTTTGGGGTGCAAGTTTAAAAAAAGGGGGGGATAGAGTGGAGCACATCCTGACCCACCAAGCCTTGAGGACAATACCCCTGCTCACAGCAGCCATTGCACAGAGAGGACCATAGGGCCAGCCCCACTATGAGACATGGCATCCCTCACTGACCTATAGCACTACGGGGGACAACACTGGAAACAGTGTGGGAATTGCGCCTAATCTGACCCCACCACACTGAGGCAAAACACTACAGGCATGCATCAGAACAGCAAGGAGAGCAGCGCAAGGAAGTCCCGAGGGAATACCAAAAATAGACTTTGGGGCCAGGGGGTGGCACCCGATCAGACTTGACCGGAAAACACTCCTAAAGGCCAACAAACAGTCCTTGAACTATTTACAGACTTTTCTTTTTTTTCTTTTTTGGGGTATTGTTTTTTTTTTGTTCTCGTTTTCTTGTTTTCTTTTGTTGCTTTGTTTTTCTCTGTCTTGTTTTTGTGCTTGTTATTATTTCCATAGATCTATCTAGATAAGATAGGTGGGATAAACAATCAGGAGGACCCACAGGTTCGACAGGACCGACGGTTCCAGCAGGACATGGGAAAGGGGTTGGTGGGGGAAAGGAAGTAGTGTTAACAAACCCAGGGACAAGGGGAACAACAAGTGATTCCAAATTGGCGATGAGGAGAGTGTAGGAGGTCTGGTAGGGTGTGATCAAGGGTAATGTAATGAGAGGAATTACTGAAACCCAAATGAAGGCTGAGCATGATTGTGGGACAAGAGGAAAGCAAAAGGAAATAGAGGAAAGAACACGGAGGCAAAGGGCATTTATAGAGGTCTAAATACAGGCATGTACATATGTAAATATATTTATATATGATGATGGGAAAATAGATCTATGTGCATATATTTATAGGTTTAGTGTTAAGGTAGCACATGGACATTGGGCCTCCACTCAAGTACTCCCTCAATGCAAGAATACTTTGTTCTATTAAACTAGCATTCCATGATGCTCACCTTCCTGATAGGATCACTGAAGACAAAGCGGGTGCATAAGCAAAGGTGGTGAAGAAAGCTGATGGTGCCTGGCTAACAAAAGATATAGCATCTGGTGTCTTAAAGGCTTGAAGGTAAACAAGTGGCCATCTAGCTCAGAAGCAACAAAACCCACATGGAAGAAGCACACCAGCCTGTGTGATCACGAGGTGTCAAAGGGATCAGTTATCAAGCATCAAAGAACAAAAAATCAAATCATTGTGAATGATTTGAGGACCCAAGACTCATATGTAGGCAACTGAATATCCCCTTACAGTAGGGTCATGGGGAGGAGATGAGCCAGTCAGGGCACAGTGTAGCAACGATGAAACATACAACTTTCCTCTAGTTCTAAAATGATTTACACCCCTCCCCCACTATCATGATCCCAATTCTACCTTACAAATCCGGCTAGACCAGAGGATGTACACTGGTACAGATAGGAACTGGAAACACAGGGAATCCAGGACAGATGATCCCTTCGGGACCAGTGGTGAGAGTGGTGATACCGGGAGGGTGGGGTGGAAAGGGGGAACTGATTACAGGGATCTACATATAACCTCCTCCCTGGGGGATGGACAAGAGAAAAGTGGGTGAAGGGAGACGTTGGGCAACGTTGTAAGATATGACAAAATAATAATAATTTATAAATTATCAAGGGTTCAAAAGGGAGGGGATAACAGGGAGGGAGGGGCGAAATGAGGAGCTGATACCAAGGGCTCAAGTAGAAAGCAAATGTTTTGAGAATGATGATGGCAACATATGTACAAATGTGCTTGACACAATGAATGGATGGATGGATTGTGATAAGAGTTGTACGAGCCCCCAATAAAGTGATTTTAAAAAGAAAGAAAGAAAGAATCAAGCCACCAGTAATATGCACTTATGGGATGTCCACTCTTTCCTATTCTAAACAGCACTGCTGTGTATCATCTTATACCTACATCTTATACCTACATACTCTTACATGTATGAGTCTACCTGTAAGAGAAATTCCTAAAAAGTGTAAATACTGAGCCAAACAGTACACAAACTTATTTTGCTCGACTTGCCAGATTCCTCCCTGTAAAGGTTATGCTAATTTCATTTCTACTGGCAATTTATAAGAATGCCTGCCAGTTTATGAGACTTTATAGCCAACCTGCCAATATAGAGCATTATCTAACTTTCTGACATGGTGGCTATGAGTTGGCTTGCCATCCTGAAGGTCAGCAATTCAAAACCACCAGCTGCTTCATGGGAGCATGATAAGAGCCTGTGAAACCCACAGGCGCAGTTCGACCCTGTCCTATTGGGTCACTAAGCATCAGAATTGACTCTATGGCAGTGAGTAAGCATCAAAGAAGAAAAACAGGATCTTCCTGTTGTTGCTAAGTACCATCGAGTCAGTTCCAACTCATAGGGACCCTGTGCACAGCAGGACAAAACACTGGGCCGTCAGGCCGGCCTCACAATTGTTCTTATGTTTGAGCTCACTGTTGCAGTCCCTGCCGATCCATCGTGTTGAGGGCCTTCCTCGTTTTCACTGCCCCTCTATTTTACCAAACACGATGTCCTTCTCCAGCAACTGATTTCTCCTGACATTCTGTCCAAAGAACTTGAGACAAAATCTTGCCATCCTTGCCTCTAAGGAACCTTCTGGCCGTGCTTCTTCCAAGACAGATTTGCCTGTTCTTTTAGCAGTCCGTGATACTTTCAATATTCTTCACCACCACCTTAATTCAAATGCATCAATTGCTCTTTGGTCTTCCTAATTCAATGTCCATCAGTATCTTAGTAGTTTTAATATGCATTTTCCCCTAGTATGAGTGAGGTTGAGTATCTTAAGACAACTGCATTTTATCCATTGAATTTTGCAAGTTAACAGTCACCATTGATTTTGGTGGGACTAGTTTTAATACCTCGAAGGAAGGGGGGCTGAGGAATAAATAGGTACTGTCAGCAGACAGTTGGAATAGGCAAAAAATTGACTAAAAAGAGAGAAGTGGGTGAAGATAAACAAGCGGTCACCTAGTTGAGAAGCAACAAAGCCCACGGGGAAGAAGCACACCAGCCTGTGTGATCACGAAGTGTCAATGAATCAGGTAGCAGGCATCAAAAAACCAAAAATCATATCAGTGAATGAGGGGGAGTGTGGAGTGGGGACCCAAAGCCCATCTGTAGGCAATTGGACATTCCCTTATGGAAGGGTTGCGGGGAGATGAGCCAGTCAGGGTGCAGTGTAGCAACAATGAGACATACGACTTTCCTCTAGTTCTTAAATGCTTCCTCCCCACCACTATCATGATCCCAATTCTACCTTACAAATTCGGCTAGACCAGAGGATGTACACTGGTACAGAGAGGAACTGGAAACACAGGGAATCCAGGACAGATGATCCCTTCGGGACCAGTGGTGAGAGTGGTGATACCGGGAGGGTGGGGTGGAAAGGGGGAACTGATTACAGGGATCTACATATAACCTCCTCCCTGGGGGATGGACAAGAGAAAAGTGGGTGAAGGGAGACGTTGGGCAACGTTGTAAGATATGACAAAATAATAATAATTTATAAATTATCAAGGGTTCAAAAGGGAGGGGATAACAGGGAGGGAGGGGCGAAATGAGGAGCTGATACCAAGGGCTCAAGTAGAAAGCAAATGTTTTGAGAATGATGATGGCAACATATGTACAAATGTGCTTGACACAATGAATGGA